ATAACAAACACGCCTAGGATTACTAAAGGCCCTCTCCTTGACTGTTGCTATGCTTTTGCGCTAGCCACTACTGCTCTCGCTTTATGGCTACAAACCGTTCCCTCCTTGGTCCTGCCAGCTTCCATTTCTCGAGACTATCACGAGCCAGCCATAACTTGACGAGTGTCACATTGTGCTCGGCTCGCTAGCAGAGCCAGCACGTGGTAACTGTGAACGATGCACCGGCATCACTCAGCGCTCAGTCTAGTGCCACAACGGATATGCCGTGACGGGCCACGTATGGCCAGGCGTGAGGTCTCTTTGTTCCTCTTTCCCCAGTGTGCGTGCAAGTGCAAGTGTTTGTGTATGCACGGCGCCGAGCCTGCATCACAGTAGACCGAGGAACTATCCGAATCACCGTATGATTCAGTGTTCTGCACCGAGCGCAGACGTGCGCTACCAAGCGAAGTGCCCCCGCGCACCAGCAATCCGGGTCACCAGTTGACTCGACGGCCCACGATCCGGGTCACCGCCCAAATGACTGACGTCATGAACTACGATAACCGTTTTCGTGGACCGCAACAAGTGCTTCAGTGACGTTCAATGCGTTCACCCGGCCACTTCCCGCCCTCCCGCCCCTGTATTGTGTTCTTGTCGCGGATGTGTTTGTGTTCTGCGTGTGACTTCCCCGCTGTGTCCTTCGCCCTTCAGGCGTCGGCCTCTGCTTTGTCCTAGCCAAAGCTCTTGCCATGGGTGGGGGAGGTGTGTAAAGTGCGTTAGTTATTTGCTTATTGATGTTTGTCCTTCGTGAATCGCTTCTTATGTTTCTAAGGGTTTAGGCTTAATTAGTTCGTAGTCTAGTTATACCTGCGTGGTGGCTATATTTCAATTTCGCATTTCAACGCTCATTACCTTTACCGCTCTCCGCTCGCGCTCAGCCCACTGCAGCTGACCCCGCGGCCGGCCGACGACGCGTCATAGTTTATTCATGATCGTGACTCATCGTCTCCAGCACTCTGCGCCGCGCCGCCGGTGTGTTATCTACAAACGTCAGCTTTTAGTCTGTCTTCTGTCAAACGCGCTCTAGAGACTCTATACCTAGAAGTCAGCCGCTGCCTGCTAAGTGCCGTCTGATGTCTTTGCAACGTTGCGTATCCGGATGCACTTAGGACCACGAGACCAGCGTGTGACGCTCTCACTCACGTGACGCATGATTCTCGATCGTACGACGTGGTGATGACCAATCACAACTGTGCAACCATATATGGAACGGCCAATAGTAAGTCGCCACGCAGGGTTAGAGGGCCACCGCCCTTAGAGTAGGATAGTTCTGCTGAAGTCACCCGATCGGGGGGACTGGCAGAAGACCCAGAGCCACCATCGGCGTCGGACGTGCTCTCTCTCGCTCGAGGAGACCTCCGAGCTCCACAGCCGCTGGACACATACCATCTGCTCCGCGTGCTTGTGTAGAGAAGACCCCCAGCCTCGGACCACGCCGGACGTGTTTCTGCATCGGTCTCGACCGACACCGTAGCTGACCATCTCGCTGTGTTGTGCTCGTGAAACAATACACCTGGACCGGCAGAGCATCTCTTCTAGCAAGGGCTGACAACAACACCGGCGCGCCCCGCCCTGGGCACGAGAAACCGCCGTGTTACAGTGCGCACGTGCAGTAGCACCTCCATAGTGACACATGGAAATGCATTGGCCACTGGGTGCCTAACTATTGACGAAGTTTTACTGTAATTGGGCCAGCCATTGCGGAGTTACTTTATGTGGAACAATTTCGACACCCCTAAGTTGGCACGTGACACGTGCCGTAACATTAACCCGCGCCCCGTAGGGGGGGGGGGGCCGAAACGGCCCCCCCCCTGTCCTTTTCGGTCGATATCTCCTGACCGGCTGGAGATATCGCCACCAAACTTTCAGGACCCTTCCGGGCATCAATTTTACACATTGTGACCAAAAATTTTTCCAGAGGCTATGATAGGTTGGCCACAAATGACGTCAGAGTGACGTCATGTTCTGTCATTTTCGACCGAAAAAAGACCTTCGCGAGAAGACCTGTCAGGACTACAGCTTTGAAGATACAGAAAAATGATCAAGACATGAAAGGTGTAGAATTGACAGGGCTACAAAACTGCTATCTCGAATTTTTGAAATTTTTGAGTTTTGACCCCCAAAAATCAAAAAAACCTTTTTTTGGATATATTCGCCAAAAAATCCAAAAAGTTTTTTGAGTTTCGAAAAAACCGGAATATATGTGATAGTGCCTACCGTCTTCTATCTACCTACCAAATTTCAGATCGATACCTCGTTTTTTGGCCAAGTTATAGCGAAAAAACTGTTCAAAAATGATGACGTCAAATTTTCAAACTCAATATTTGGCAATTCTAGAACTCGTAGAGCAAAACGAAGACCCCCATTAGACTCCCCGTGACGAGTTGCATCGAATCGATACCCATTTTATGCAAAAATATCAACTTTGAAATTTGACCTAATTTGACCTGACCTTGACCTGACCTTCACAAAAACGTGACCTAGGCTGGCCCCAAAGGCTGCCTAACCCACATAATCGCATTTGTCATGTAAAATGGACCATAAAACATGTATCACACGACACATTCATATTGTGACCCCCGGTGACCTGACCTCGCTGTGACCTGACCCGGTATCAGTGACCTCAGATAGCAAAGTATGTGTTTGACGAACAATGTACCATCGATGGTTTTCAATAAATTACCAATTTACTCGCTTTCACAGCACATTTCTTGAATTGCCTGTGAACGGTGAAAATCTGACTTTTGACCTGACCTGTGACGTCATCGGTTTGACCTAGGTCAATGAAATTTGGTCACAAGGTAGTTCCCGGGTGGGGCTATCGAACGCCGTTTGAATTTTGAAAATCGGCCGGTAACTTTCCGAGATCTTAGGGGGGGGGGCCGATACGGCCCCCCCTACGGGTGGTAGGGTCCGCCGGTAGCCCTACGGGGCGCGGGTTAACTAAGATGAAGAAAATCGGAGGAAATTCGGAGAAGAAGGAAAAAGCCTACCAAATATGTCAGTGACATATTGTCAAACTGCTGTACCATTGTGAGTAAATGACCATATAAAAGGTCGTACAAGCCGATGGGACTGGGCGTTTCAATACACACCGTCTTACGCATTTTATTTTCGTTATTACCTAAAGACTGCTTGACGTTTTTGGCTTTCAAGCATTTAAGACGTTTTTTGTCGGCTCAGGTCCAGTAAGATTACCTCCAACTCGTAGGAATATGCACTTCAAGCCAACTAACACACCACACCCACGTGTGTCATAATGCTGAGAGATTGCGTTCACTCGGCTTGCTCCTAACTTACGATAATTCTCTCGCTAGATGGCAGGCCTGATCCCAATGTCGCGGATCCCAATGTTAATTTCCACGAGACACCAATCCAGTGTTATATCATCCATGGGTCTGCCAAGCAACGCGCCCCTTTTTGCCCCCTAAACACATATTTTGCTATTTGAGGTCATTTATACCAGGTCAGGTCACAGAGGTCAGGTCACTGAGGGTCACAATATGAAACATAGACCTATGTAGAGGTCTATGTATGAAAGTATTATGTGATGCATGTTTTATGGTCCATTTTACATTACAAATGCGATTATGTGGGTCAGACAGCCAATTGGGGCCAGTTTAGGTTATGATCTGGTGAAGTTCAGGTCAACGTGAGGTCAAATTAGGTCAAAATTCAAACTTGATATTTTTGCATAAAATGGGTATCGACTCGATGCATCTCGTTACGGGAAGTCTAATGGCGGTCTTTGTTTTGCGCTACGTGGTCTAGATTTGCTAAAGATTTATTAAAAAATTTGATGTCATCAATTTTGAACATTTTTTTCGCTATAAATTGGCCAAAAAAAGAAGATATCGATCTAAAAGTTGCGATGTAGATAGAAGCGCGCAGGGAATATCAAATATATTCCGTTATTCGAAATTCTAAAAAAATGGGATTTGTTAATAAAAAAGACATTTTTTATTTGAGGGATAACAATAACGAAATTCTGAAAATTCTATATTTCAGTGTAGTGTCGTTTTTTCTACACTACCACATACAGAACTTTGAAATTGCTTGCTAAAACTGTAGGTTTTGCGAGCGTTTCAAAGTTTCATGTTTTTTGCTCATTTTTGTTCGAACATTACCTCAGTTTAACCTCATTAACTTCTGACCTAAGGTGACCTAGGACTTGAAATTTTGTGTGAACGTGTCAAATTGATGTCCGGGAAGGTACTTAGAATTTGGCGGCGCTCCGCGCCGCTGTTTTCTTGCTGTTCAGGAAAGCCACATGTTCTCCTTCCAACGGGGCGAGGGTTAACCTACCTTTCTGCTTGGCATTACAGGTCCCGGTACAGCACATTAGTAGGGCACCCTGACTGGTCACCATGCTGCTGCTTCTATTCCTGCTCGAAGCACTCAAATTTGGCATAGCTTGCCAGAAAATTCCGCTGTACTACGGCACGCTGGACCCAGCTCTGGCGCTTCCCGGAGGACCAATAACGGGCGTCATCTCATCGTGTCAATGCTGCGCCTTCTGCAATAACAATGAGCTGTGCAAGAGCTTCAGCTTCCGTGGCAGCACCGGCGAGTGCACGCTGTACAGCAAGGTGGGCAGCTACCCGAAGTTCCTCCGACAGGACTGGGGTGCGGAGGATACGGAGTTCTACATCATGCCGCGTAGCTCCACGACTGAAGAATTTTGCCGTCAAGATGAAGACTGCGTGAACGGAGAACCTTGTTTGGGGAGAGTTTGCACCACCAACCGAACGATAACATGTCTCTCGATCAAGGAGCTGAGCCCCACCATCAACACACACACGTTCTGGGGCGCAGTCGACGGCACTGAGACCCGACTGTCCTGCTTGATGGACGTCCAGGGCGGCGGCTGGACGCAGCTGGTCGATGCTGTGTTCAACTTCTTCTGGCAGCCAGCGGACGTCCTGAGTTTGAACAGCATCGGACAGGGTGGTGTACACACTATGGGACAGCACTACTCAGCACTCTGGTAAGAGAATGCAGGCGCACTGGCTTATTTGCTGATTTTATACGCAAAGCCCTTCCCTAAAGTTGGAAACGTTTACTTATAAATTGATTTTAGAAGTAGGAATTACCCACAGAAGCATAAGTCCGCACCTATAATTATCGTGTACCGAAATGTATTCGCTAAGCTAGCAACGCTATCAAACACCTTTGCCACCTACCTCGGATTTAGGTATCCAGTGACTATGCCTAAAATAACTGGTCTTCCGTGTCTGCCCGTAGGGCCGCCGACCTAATCCGCGACTCCAGGCCGGGAGACTACAAGGTCATCGTCAGAAGCCAAGGTCAGTTCCGACACAGTATTTACTCAAAATTTTCGCTGTTATCCTTTAAGTCGTAAGAAGAGAACGTAACTCGCCCTCCCTTTTTGATCCAAGCTTTTTCAATGCACATATGTTCGATATCAGGCGCATTTATTGTCTTTCCTAACTAGATGCGTCTATACTTAACCCTATTAGTGGCAGGCTCCTGGCTACCCCTATTAGTGGCAGGGGGGGGGGGCTGTTTACGACCCCCCCTGATATCTCGAGATCTAACGGGCCGATTTTCAAAATTCAAACGGCATTCGATTTCGCTCAACGTGATCTACATTTCTAAAAAATAAAAATTAAAAATGTCAATAGGGGGGGGGGGTAGAGGGGGTAAAAACGGGCAAATTGCAGATACATTTTAGACTGTTTATCACGGCCAGGTTTCTGAACCAATCTTAACGCAACTTTTGCCGATCGATAGAAAATGAACCAAGAACTCACATGGATCCTAAAAATATACATTTTCAAAAATCATAGGCGGATACAGATCATTGAGATTGGGGGTACACAAAAAGTATAGTAAATAGGGGAAGCGGGGGGAACACCGCCACTGTGGGAAACACCGCCACCCCATCTGGCGGCGAAAGTATGAACTGTGAAATGTAAAAATCCGCTATTTCCTATTAACCGCACGAAGGTAAGCGTCTTCTGATTTGTGTTCCGGTGTTTCAGTGTAATCGAAGCTCAATGTGGGCATTTAAAGAAAAATGCACATTCTCTTATAAAAATTCGATGAGTTGGAAGCACTTTTGAATGTCTTTATGTAGAGATTCATTTTGATTTACTTGATTACATCGAAAAATAACTGATCGGCTTTGTCCAGTAAGATAGGTTTGCTTGTACCGTGTAGTACATTCTTGCCGCTGGCGATTTTTGCTTGTGATCACTTATTGGGGAACACCGCCACCCCGTGGCGGTGTTCCCCCAATTGAGGTTGCGACGTTTCCTGTTCGTAGCGTGATAAGTGATGAAACTCCAAAGGCACGCTTTATTTATGTTCGTAGATGTTCCTAAGTCGGGAATAAGCAGCTTATTTGATTTTTTACTTTATATTTTTCATACATCCCGACCAAGCACTTGCCAGCTGTATAAAACTGGCAAACAGCTGATGAACCTATACCTATTTAGGTGTCCATTACCGATTATTTACGAAAATTACCACTTACCGCCAGGAAACTCATCGCACGCGGTCTCTGAACAATTAACCCTAGAACGCCTAGGGGGGGGGGGTTGTATCAGCCCCCCCTGAGGTTTTTTCGAAGTGCACGCTAAACGGCTTGTCGTAGCGGGCTGAAATTTTCAATACCCTCTGGGGCAACCTTTGCGCATCTTTTGCCGAAAAAAATTGATCGGGTCATGTCAGGTCACGGAGTTATGACGTCATAAGAGGTACAGCCTCCGGCCGGATTTTCACAAACTGAGTGCCAACGCCCGAGGTTTCCTGCCGGTGGTACGGACATCGGTTGATGGATCGTGATGAAACTTCCCATGCATGTTAGGGCAAGTATTGGCTATCATATGGTATAAGAAATTTGACCGGGTCAGGTCAGGTCACGGAGCTATGACGTCACAAGAGGAACAGCGTCCGGTACTATTTTTGAAAAGCGCCCGAACCACTATTTTGCTAATTCTTGTCACCTCAATGGGAATATGCAGCAATATTAGCTTCTATAGGGAGCAAATGGACCTCCCAAATCCAAAAATACAATCAGATTTCAAAAATTTAAATTTTGATTTTTCGAATTTCTGCCGCCGACTGTGACCTTGCCGACTTCCGGCGCTCCCAACGCGCCATTTTTAGAGCTAGGGAAACGAAATACATACCAAACGATAGAGAATTGATCAAGGAACACGATAGTGAAGGTTTCAAGTCGATATCTCCCACCGTTTTGCCGCAATCGCCGCCGAAAGTTAAAAAAAAGTCTATTTTTCCGAAAGTTTGACCTTTGACCGGTCAAAAGTAGGTCAAATGTTGACCTAGGACCAAAAAATATACCACCAATCGCGAGATCTCGTTGTGAGCAATCCGTTGGTTTTTTCCGCTAAGCTCTACGACCTTCCGTTTCGAAACGCCAGGGGGGGGTCGTAACAACCCCCCCTGGTCGTTCGTGTTATGAGAAATGGCCTAGTCGTGCGAGGGTTAAAAGCTTTCGTAGGGATGGGTTGGGTTAACATCAACACCGGTGGCGGGGTTACCCACACAATTTGTAGGCGGCAAATATGCAAGGTATTTTTAAAAGTCGTGATACATGAAAACCTTTTATGAGCATGCAAAATAAGTACCTAAAACACGTGAGAAAATGTTTAAATATTGTAACCAAGACAATAACTACCAAGAGACTTCACACATATTCTCTCATTTTGGCGAAAAGCTTAGGGGGGCGGTGTTACCCCCGCTTCCCCTAAGGCTTTTGTTGGTACTGTTTCTAAAAAGGGTGGTAATGGTCTTGTTATGTTACAATTTTCTTATGAGAGAACGACTACCTACAATTGTATTGGTCGTGCATAGGCGGTGTCAGGGCACCTATGTTGGGAGGTAAAACATAACCCCCCTTTTTGGACGCCTGGATCCACCTATTATAGCAAAAACGTGTCAAAAGAGGATAAACAATAACTTTGTATATGTTATCACATGATACCTTTCATTCACTGTTCGTAAAACTGGTGCATACAGTTATAATACATCAGCATCGTGATCTTCGCCCAAATGACTCACTTCACGAATAGGACCCCCCAATTCCCAGTGCTCTGGAGCCGCCCCTGGTAAAGTTATGAACTTGAAATTTTCAGGGAATGTGCCCAATTTAGTTTAAGGAAAAGTAAGAAAATTTCAGCATCGTAGCTTCAGTGGTTTCGGAGATATTCCCGAAAAACCTGAGGGGTGGATGAAAACAACCCCCTGCCACTAATAGGGTTAACAGAAGACAACATATCGCCATAATTCATCCTCTGTTGCTTTTTCCATCGCAAGGAAAGTTATTACCTATAACCAAAACAAGCTGCAGATTTTCTTCACCAGTTTTTCAGTCTGCAACATAATAATTTTCTTTCACCATTACCACTTATGTATGTAGTTCTCTTCTATGGCCCGAGGAGTTCTTGGCAACATATGTAGGCATATGTACAGTGGAATCCGCTTAATAAATCCACTGATAATAAACCCAGCCGCTTATTGTGGCCAATTGAGCTGTTCACGGATTTTCTCCGTAGATACCCATACTTAATAAATCCGCTTAATAAATCCACCCACTCCGCTTAATAAAGCCACTTGGGAGTTTCAAAGTCCGCATTGACGTCTCCCCACTCGAAATGTGGCATCCAAACCGCTCCCAAAGAACCACTCTGGAGCAGCGGTCTGCAGCAGTTGGACTTCTAAAAACAGAAGGAGTTCAGGGCTTTCAAGAGCGCAATCACCATGCACCTCAATTACAATTGAGGTGCACAATTATTGGGGGTCCTGACCCCCGCCACCCAACCAGTGCAGTGGCGGAGCCCCTGGTCACTTTCACTAATCACTGGAATAAGTAAGGTAATGAGGAATGTTAGCCTGTACGTTTGTATTGCAGGAGAACCGAACGTGCAGCCGCGATGCATGCTTTTTTAATGAAAATGACTTACTTCGGTTAATAAAGCCACCGCTTAACCGCGTCCCAGTGGCGGTCTCAGCCAACTTCGCCCTAGTGGGGGGGGGGGGGGGGGGGGGGGGGGCATATGTTACCACCCACCTCTAACTCAAAAACTAAGAGGGCTAGAAAGACGCGGTAAAAAGAAGTCGATAGCTCTCAATGCGTACGTTTGAAAGTATTTCAGGCATTTTTCACCTTAGAGCAATATTGGGGTCACCAGAGGTCATCAAAGATCAAAATTTGCCAATTGTCATTATATTTTTCAGAAAACATGCCGCTATCTCAAGAACTATGGTAGCTAGAAAACGCATGGAAAAGCAATCGATAGCTTTTGAACTCTTCTTTTGATAAGGTCATTATCAAAATTGACCTCAGGTCAACGGTTTAGCCTCCAGAGGGCAAAAACTCAAAAAATAGCTGTAAAGTGTTTTTCGACAATAACTTTCGACTACAAAAAGCCACGACATTTCTATTGCCAGAATCGTGTTCCCCTCGCCGAGACGCGTCGAATGAACTATAATTTGACCTTGAAAGGTCAACTTGAAATTTTGACCTCAGGTCAAGGTCATGACCTGACAGGAAAAGGTCATGTTGCATATCAGTCGATGCGTCTCAACAAGACAAACACAATGAGACCATCTCCAGCGTTCTATCTTTTTCCAATCGCGAGTTATTGGCAAAAAACTGTTTGTAGCCTCAAATGACCTCGCATGACCTTTCTAGAGGCTATCAGCAAAAATGACACCTTGGCCATCACGAGTGGTCCAAATCATTGTGATTCTAAAATATTTGGACTGTTCCTATGCGTACACACAGATCTAGAGGCATTTTCATTTTTCTCCCTTGACTTGTAATGGAAAGGTCACGCCACTGACCTGACCTTAGGTCACGAATATAAAAAATCCGAGATATACAAATTGTAGGCGCCCATACCAGCATGTAATCCACCAAGTTTAAAACCTTTCTGACAAACACTGCAGGCTGGACATGATTGCAAACTTGTTTTTAGGCTTGGTCAGTTAACTTGACCTGGTGACCTGACCTGACATGACCGGGGGTCAAAATTTTCACACATTGTCCAAAATTGATGTACCAAACGCTACCCCAAGCGGCGCGGCGCTACGCACCGCGGTTTTTTATTCACACGCAAAAAACGCGACAGGGTGGTAACATATGTCCCCCCCCCCCACTGGGGCGAAGGCTAATAAATCCAAACCATCTTGTCACCAAGGTGGATTTATGAAGCGGATTCCACTGTACCTATTCCAGTATTCCTATTCATATTCATATAAATTTGGGTAATACTGAATCGACTCAGGGCTTACGGCTTCGGGCTTATCGCCAATCGCTGTATCATTGACGAGTGGATGAATTTCACTGTTTTATCGCACTGTGTCCCTGCAGCTCCGGAGAAGGGCGTGCTGTTCTCGGCGCCGCGAGCCCAGAGTCTGCTCGGAACCACGCCCGTCAGTGTGCCCTACGCGGCCGAGCCGGCCGGCAGCGGCTTCAGCTTTTGGACAGGTTCGGTGGTGTTCCCCTACATGTTGAACCAAAACGGCATCGTCTATCACATGAATGACAAGTCGTACATTCATGCCGGTGGCATCATGAGAAGCTCCCCAATCACCTACCGTCGCTGGGCCAATGGCGCTGAACATCCTCACACTATGCAGGTCTGGATTAAGGAGGGACAGTAGAAGACGCTCTATTTTGCTTTCTGTTCTCTTTTCCTCCTTTTATCTGTCCCTGTCACATAATATTATGCAAGGTACAATTAGTAGCTGATAGCACGGCATTACATACCTAAATGCTAGTTTGTGTATCTACGAGATTCACACAAACGTAGGGGAGAGCGGGGAGAGTTGTATCATGTCCAAGTTGTATCAGGGCGAATTGTGCCAAACTTATCCAATGGATGGCGCTCGCGACACGACCAGCCGACGAGGTTTTCCGGGCGCCATCTTTCCCTGTTTCGTCTTGTGGCTGAGTGGACGCGTCTCGAGGTGAGAGCCGATTTTATGTTTTTTTTTTAATGTCATTCTAAAAAAATAAGATGCAAGAAAATGTGTGTTTTGGGCATTTAGATGTGCACGAATTTGAAAGATCTCCGTAGCGGTGGTGAGGGTAGGTTCTAAGGCTGCGTGAGTGAAAACGGATTTCTCCAGCTGTCCGCTGTTTTTGAGCACGAGGATGTTTTTTCCAAGATGGCGGCCAGGTACATGTTGTATCAGAGCCGGGTGGGGTATGTTGTAACATGTATGTATGTATGTATGGTATGTACATGGGTATGTTGCTTTTGATCGCGAAAGCTAAGCCCTGGCTCGCGTTTGTAGGCAGCTAGTCACTGCTAGTTCCATTTCGGCACAATGTGTTGGCTTCTTTGCTCTTAACGGGCCACTTTTGCGTCTAGTCTGTTGATGCTTCGTTCGGATTGCATTGACCTTTGATCGGATTGAGTTTGGTCTAATAAAGTGAAGCCTTTGAGCATACCTATACATTGTATTAACCCCATTTATTGTTGTTGTTATGTTCAAAACCAGTAGCAAGCACACTCCCTGAAACGTGAAATAGTGATACAAATTACCCCACCATGTGATACAACTCACCCAAGCCATGGGGCAAGTTGTATCAAAAACATTGTTCTATTCGGCAGACTGTAGAAGAAAAACTGGTAGAGGTAGCGGAAAAGTTACTTTGCACAAAAAAGCAGAAGAATCAAGGAAGGGTATAGTATGGAAATAATGAGTTTATCACGGATAGTTACGAGGTTAGGGGTCTCGGAGTAAAAACTGATACAACCCACCCCACTCTCCCCTATAGGTAAAACCGGAATGAAGCGCACGGTAACGGACCCTTTAAAGCAGCGGTCGGCAGGTCCTCCGGGGTCGTGCCCCCTTTTTTTTAGCGCCAGGCAGGGCCATTACCCCCACCTACCAGACCCCATTGGTGATGCAATCAAGGTTACTGAAATTTTATATTTTCCGTGACTCTTTGGGTACCATATCTGCGAGAACCCGCAGGGGGCCCCGCCCCTCCCCTGCGGTTTCTCGCAAATATCTCAAAAAACGTTGCCACGGAGCGCCACCATTTCGACACATTTTATCATACATCTTCTCTGCACATGTTGTGAAAATTTCAGACCAAAGTAACTCAAGGTCAGGTCACCAGATCACGTCAAGTGACCTCACCTCAGTAGAGACTGTAACGCCTGCCGTAGCTACACAGATTCACAGCTCTTTCAAACTTTCAGGAATTGATAAGGCGATAGCATGTACAAAATTTGTATCTCGGAGATTTGATGTCGGTGACCATAGGTTAGGTTAGGTTAGGTTAGGTTAGGTTAGGTTAGGTTAGGTTAGGGGTCGCAAAGTCAATAGCAGAAAATTGAAAGGCGCCCCTTTTGGACGAGTGTCATTCCTAACACTGTGAAACACTGAATTACAAGGAAACATGACCACCTAACCGGAAAAGTGCACCCGTAACATCGCTGTATGTCCCTGAAGTCATTTCAGGTCATGCATGGTAGCTAACAGTTTTTTGCTAATAGCTTTTGATAAAGGCATACCAGAGCGATGAAAATGCCTCAGATGTGTTCAGCTCGACGATACGGATCGACTGATGTGCAACAAAACCTTCGATTCTCTCGACGGGAGGATCACGATGCTGATAAAAGTGAGCTCTTGCAAGTTTGAAGTGAAAAGTTAATGAAAAAAAAAACTATCAGTAAGCAACGTACATTTTGGCAGTTTTTGTCTCCTGCAGGCTAAACCGTTAATCTTAGGTTGAATCTGAGGGCAGGCATCAGAAAGAACGTTTACAGAGCTATCGAATGCGTTTTTCCGCAGCGCTGTAGCTCTATCCTTTCCTGAGCTATAGGCCAGTTTGTCGAAAATTGCCAAAGGTTGACCTGGAAATTGGCGAAATTTTACGTTCGATGACCTCTGGTGAGCTGACCTTTGACGTGACCTAAAAAGTGATCATAGTTTTTTCTTCATCATTTCTTACGCTATTTCGAATGCCGACTACGGTGTTTCTCTAGTGACCCAGGAGCCAAGTTAATTGGGGGTGTTCAACCTCCAACTCCAGCAGGGCGTGGAAATCCAGGAGCCCCAGCGGGACGGAGGCTAACCCCCATACGTATAGGGGTAGCGGATATTTTTCTGGAATAGATCACGTTAAAAGGGTCGGATCACGAAAAAAAAACGTACCCTGACCCGATCATTTTTAATCTGTCCTGAAAATGGCATTAACCAGAATAACCATTGATTTGTGAGATCTTTATTGAGATCATGGCAGGCCACAAAATCTCACTTCAAGAAGCTACAGCAGGACCCGATTAACTCGATAATTGTCATTGACTTCTGGAAGGTCACCCAATGACCAAGCAAGGACATTTAAATTGGGTAGCAGCGGCTGCCTATCTTCACGGGCAACACGCTCAATTTTTCTGCAAAGCTCCAGCTCAGAGGCCGAGATGCTCGGGTCAGGGTGCAATGGACGACTCCTCTCCCTTGCGTTAGTGACTGTGAAAACACCAATAGACGAGCACCGGTTAATACATGACAGTTAGTTTTGCACGACTGTACGGAATGGTGAGCAGCTAATGAAAATTGGCATGCGCCAGCTGATCAGTTCATGCTTTGTGCGTTTGACCTTGAATAATCTTTGAATCCTGGGGCACAACAGTTGCGATGCCTGTCCCAGTGTCCCATCAAGGGAGCCATTAATTCTAAAAAGATGAGGCTTTCTCAGAGGCCCTCATTACCCCCAGCCGAAGGGCGCCATTACCCCCAAAGGGGGCATGCCCCACCATTTGCCGACCCCTGCTTTAAAGCTTGGAGCGGAACTACAGCACTCTCGCAATTAAATGCACCCCTTGTTAGTTCATACTTCTTCGGCATTCATTTCACTGCCTAACAGCGCCTTTTCCATTTGGATGCACCTGGACAGAAAGGTGTTCTTGGGAGCTTTACTGCGTGCGGCGCAAATCCGGCTGTCCCATCCAGCTAGCGCATGATGGGACAGCGAGAACGAACGGCCCACGCTGAACAAGTGATTGTGTCACCACTGCCCTACGGCACGTTCAATTTTAGAGTTATATAAATTCCTCTGTGAATGTAGGTGGGAAGAACATGACGTAGGATAGGCCAACGTCTGTTAACATGTATGGCGATCTATGGAGGATGTAACGGAAAGGACATAGCAACATAACGCAAAGGACGTTAGTAGGGTGGTGGATATTTGGTGGATATAGCGTTGCTGTGTCCTGTTCAGGGCGACTTTCCGATCGTAGCTTACCACTCAACAGATAAGGAACAGCGTTTAGTTCATTCATTACGGAGCGAGCGAAGCGAGCGTAGTCTTTCCTTATTAGACCAGTAAAACGCCTTTTGGGCGACCAACGGAGCGAGCGAGAGGATGGGCCTTGCACGTGCGAAATTGCGAGGGGGTACCTCCAACTAACTTGTGCACTGCACCCTACTAACCGGTCTTTAGCGATGTGCCAAATTTCAGCGCAATCGGCCTAGCCGTTCTCGAGATCTGGAAGCGGCACACTGCACGTGCGCACGTGCAAGCGGGGTCCAAACTGACTTTTTCACGGCACCCTACTAACTGGTCCCCAACCGTGTACCAAATTTGAGCGCAATCGGCCCAGCCGTTCTCGAGATCTGGGAGCGCCCCCTGCACGTGCGCACGTGCTGTAGCACCCCAACCTTAACACATGCAGATGAATTATCTGATGGAGACCTAACTGTGTACCGAGTTTCAATTCAATCGGCCCAACCGTTGTGCCGTTATTGAGGTTGCAATTTTGGGGGTTCTTAAAAAATGTCCAACTTTACCACGCGCCACGTGCGTTGGTTGGCAAGAACGCATGGTGGCCATCACACCACAGAACTTTTACGTCCAAGTGACATTCAGTAAAGAAGACCGCTTGTCAATCGGATGTCCCGTTCCTAAGATATTAGCTTTTGAAGAGCGTCCCCACGGCCGGCCGGCCGCTCATACTCAGGATTTTCCCTTAATTCAGTATGAGACTCCGCTCGCTTCGCTCGCTCCGTAATTAACGGAAATTTCTGAGTATGAGCGGCCGGCCGGCCGTGCGGACGCTTTTGCGAGGCTTATATCTCAGCAACCACTTGACCGATTTACACGCGGTAATTTTTGTAGGGTAGCTTCATTCATTCTACCAAGTATTGGACTATTCCCGATGCATGTGGGTGACCCCTTATGCACGTGCCACGTGCAAAACGAAGAGGTGTAAGTTTTATAATTGTTGCAATATCTCGGTAACTACTTGGCCGATTACGCTGAAAGTTGGCATGTAAGTAGGTACCTACTAGGCACTGCATATCCATGTGCCAGAGTTGGGGTGCTGCTGCACGTGCGCACGTGCAGGGGTCGTTTCCAGATCTCGAGAACGGCTGGACCGATGGCGCTCAAATTTGGTACACGGTTAGGGACCAGTTAGTAGGGTGCCGTGCACAAGTCAGTTGGGACCCATTTCGCACGTGCGCACGTGCAGGGTGCCGCTCCCAGATCTCGAGAACGGCTGGGCCGATTGTGCTCAAATTTGGCACATCGCTAGAAACCGGTCAGCAGGGTGCCGTGCACAAGTCAGTCGGAGGTACCCCCTCGAAATTTCGCACGTGCAAGACTCACCCCTCGCTCGCTCCGTTAGTCGCCCCAAAAGGCGCTATACTGGTTTCATACAGCTTATGCGTCACTTTTATTGATTAGTATATGTTTCATCCGCAAACAACGAATTTGTTTACGGTAGTGAGCGGAGGAATTCAGCGTGTAACAATAAACAAACAAACAAATACATCATGTATATTGGACTCATCTTTTTCATTCAAATGTGTAAAGGCTAATTTCAGAAAAATAACAACACATATACTTGAAGCAAAATATGTACAAATATTTGGCATTCACATATCTATGAC